TGACGTGCTGAGCAAAGCGAAGTGAGAAATACTGTACTTTATAAAATATTTGCCCTGTTCATCTGTTTTTGGATCCTATATAATTAATAGGTAATAGGACTACATGCTTGTCCAATTTGAAATAATTGGATTCAAAAAATTCCTCGAAATTGGACTCGGCCTACGGCCTCGTCCAATTTTGGCTGTCCTCGGAATTTTTTTCATCCATTTATTTCCAAATTGGACAGCATGTAGTCCTATTACATGTACAAAACAACTTCAAATATTTTGCGGGTCATACAGCAGAACAGAGCCTGCTATATTGAACAAACACTGTACGTAGCGCGTAGTAACTGAGGAATATAACCTTTCTGGTTATTTTTGATCCAGCGTGACTTTGCAGCCTGATTGCACGCCGTCGCGTCATGTCTAAATAAAATGAAGTATCCCTGCCACGACAAGTGCAGTTGCGTCCCGTTGGCTATAGCGAAAGAGCTATCCATTCAAAGTACAAAATCAGCCCAGTCCTGCAACATGAACCAGCTTTTAAAGCAAATGGTTGGATCACCTAGAACTACTTACAAATAGTGACCATTCCGCTAAACAGACTGCTCTTTATTTTCTTAGATATTCCAAAGATCAGAAAGGGGCCTCCATCCAGCTTTACGACAAAAGAAGGAAGCAATGTCTCCTTTCCCTGCTCCTCCAGGGGCTACCCTAAGCCAGAGATCACGTGGTACAAAAATGATCAAAAGCTTGACAATAGCTTCTATAACGCAGCGACAGGAGTGTTGACATTTCCTAGTATACAGTTCGGTGATCGAGGCTTGTACAGATGCGAGGCCAGGAACTTTTTGGGATTTGACTCTACCACTGTCAAAGTTGTAGTTGAAGGTATGGAAAACTAATTTTAAATAAAAAGTGCTGTTCTTTAAGTTATTGTTGTCAAAACCGCCGAGAGAAACATTGAGATTCGAGGAAAACAAGACGGAGAAAAGTTTTCTTTACTAGTTCATAAAAATAAAATCGGAGCAAATTGTTCAGACTTAAGAATCGTTTTCTTGAAAAATAAGAAGTCAGATCACTGATTCAAATTTGCTTTTTTTTGTTTGCAATAAAACAAACGATTTTACACATTACGTCATTGTCAAGGTCTGGGACGTATACTCATCGAATATAACACAGAAAACTAACGACCACTAAATTGTTGGACTTTTGACTGATTTCGGCTTCAACACGACTTTACCATTTCTCACAGTTCCTCCGAGATTTGTTCAAGCACCTGAGATCTACCACACGGGGTACGAAACCTGGGAGACGACTTTGACGTGCAAAATCTTCGCTTATCCCCCGCCAAAGATAGAATGGACTCGGTCATTCCGACCGTTACCTGTTGACCGTCACGTGGTGACTGGAAAAGATTTGGTGATCAAGTAAACTCGGCAAGAGGACAAAGGACCTTTCATGTGCCGCGGAGAAAACCATTTGGGCCATGTCTATGCACTGATTGTGCTTGTCGTAAACCCTGTTCGTGAGTGAGGAACTTATTTTCATAATGTTAACAATCTGGCAGTGTTTAAATTTCTTTCATAGAAATTTATATGTGTGTTTCGACTTCGCGTTAACTGAACTCTAAAGTAATTGATTTCTAAACTTTATGAAGTGTACTCTAGACAGTTACATTTAAAATTCGATTTGGTTCGTCATATCGAGAGTTCGTTTTATCGAAAACCTTGTGACAACGAATTTGCGGAAGAACGACCAAAATGTTCCTTACATCATCGAGGTATAGTAAATAATTGTTTTGAAACAGTGTTCCGCCGCACTACTCAGTATTCCCCCCTCTGAACGATTGAATAACATTTGTGCATCAAAGTTTGTTTGAAGCTACAGAACACCGTACCTAACTATGGCACTGGCATGTTAAAACTTTTTCTACTGCGTATACGGTTCGCATTCATTTTACTGAAACTTTGGCAGCGCTGAAGAAGATCGTTCGTTATACCGAGGACCTCTTTATAAAGGGGTGCTTTAAGTCGAGGTCACTGCAGCTAGAACATGTTGGCTAATCTAGCCTAATCAGGAGCAAAATTAAACCACCGTGTTCAAGTGAGTGGCAGAGAATACGTGGCTCTCGGTCATTTTGCACTGATCTTGATATGCTCAGTTTAGATGCCATAATCTAAGGTCGAATATTTAAAATTAGATTATGAGTTCCAGATTTATGTGAGGTGATAGTTGTTGCGACCAGACGACGAATCAACTATCACCTCTTATGGCTCACCACGTACAAAATTTTCCTTTGTCGTCACTGTCCAAAACTGGTCACGTGGTACAATCCAACAGAACGCCGACGGGCGTCTATTGGACGATAGTTTCCCCCTCAGCGGAGCGGCTCATGAAATTCAACTTCCTCCTTCAATGTTTTAGATAACGATATAAAGAATTCGGTCTCTAATGTGGATTTTAGTTAGAAAATAGAACGAAGAAGACGTCTTTAGGCAGAAAACTGCAGTAAACTACGGTACTGTAAAACCCAAGTGGTCTCAAAGGTTTCAAGATCTATTGTGGAGAAAAGATAAGTTTTAATTTCTCGTTTTTCGAGTTTCAGCAAGTCGATAGTTGACATAGAAATTCCGTCCACGGAGGATACCTTGATGGAAAATACGAAAGCGGTTAGAGATTTTAATGATTAAATTCATGTCGTTTTTCAGTTTTAAGGCACGCTGCTAAGGGAAAATTTAGTGGTGAACAATGAAGACAGTAGAGTGTTTCTGTCGAAAATTAATGTTCTTTAAAACTGCATGTAAGCTTTCGAAATTCGTTCTCGGGTAACATTTGTTTTTTTAGAACTTTTTGGAAGGTTGATTGTTGATTTCCTGTTTATACCAGTTTCTCCTGTTATTACTACCGCACCACCTTCTGTCGTCACGGTAACAAAGACCAGTGACAAGGTTAGACTGCAGTGTGCTGCCCGGGGATCCCCCGTGCCCAGTCTGGAGTGGAGTAAGGATGGAATGGTGGTTTCTACCAACACAACCACAAAGACTGCTGATGAAGTCAAGGGAGAGCTTATTATTCCAAGCTTCAGTCCCTCTGATCAGGGCGTGTACAAGTGTTTCTTTAGAAACTACGAGAACGGCACGGCAGAGATTGCCACCACTGCAGGTATACAAGTGACACCACATCTAGCTTGTTTAAGGGGCTGTAGTATGATAAAGCGCAGGCGCAATTACAAAGAAGTTTACTTTAGTCTCGCTCCCAGAGGCTGCGTCCCCCTCGGCCAGCGGTCGGAAAATGCAGACTCTGGGTGCTTTACGTTTTTCATCACTGATGTAAATCACACTTAAAGCGGAGTCCAGCAAACACAATTGCACGTTAGATCGATAAATCAAACAAGAGGGATGCTTCATTGGCTTGAGTAAATATTACAATAATAGTCTTTTCAAAACAACTAAATACGTTTTACTTCGAAGTAAAGCATTTGAAATCGATGTGGACTCTAAAGACGCAGTAATGTCGATAACGAAGGAATTTTGATCATAAACTTGATTTCACGTGGTCTCAAAATGAACATCCAGATAGCATTTAAAGTGACATGACCCATGCCAACTGGCACTTTAATTATATGACAAATTTAGGTGATCCAAATTGACCCACGGGCTGTGCCATAAAGTGTGGTTGTGCCATGATTTTGAATCGAACGAAAACTTCTTCCAAAATGTCCTATGTTAAAAAACGTCTCGGACGTGGCCCTTCTTCAGTACTAAATTTTGAAATACAGGTAAACAAATGAGGGAAATAAACAAAGGGCACGCTTGACTCAAACAAATAAATAGAAGTGCTAGCGCTACAAGTTACAGTGAAACCTCTGTCAAGCGGACACCCTCGTGATCTTCCCAAGTGCCCGCTTAATAGAGGGTGTCCGCTAATAGAGGTTTCACTGTATTTTATTATTTATGATTCATGCATGTGTGTAATTTATTTTTAAAAGAGACCAATTTGTATTTCTATGAAACAATGGGCGTTCATGTCAAATATGAAAGGCTTAAAGAGGCTTCTGAACTTCGTTACAGACAAAGATAAATGAATGCAGTGGTAACTTGCGCTTAAACCAATTTGTTTTCAAAACTACCAGAACTTGTGGGATGTGGAGACCCTGGTGTTCCTGTGCACGGTTACAAGATTGGAAAGAATTACTGGGGAGGAGAGATGGTTATCTTCGCTTGTGACGCAGGATACCACTTGGAAGGACCTACAAACAGACTGTGCTTGGAAAATGGCAACTGGAGCAATGTTGTGCCAACATGTAAGCAAGAAAACCTGAATTCTATATACTTAACGGTGAAAAGATTATTTCATGGGAAATTTGTTTTCTTTCTTCAGGCCATCGTATCTGCGATGATCCTGCTCCCCTTGAGAACGGTTACAGGATAGGAAATGAATTGTGGGAAGGCAAAAATGTCACGTACAGGTGCAACAAAGGCTACTGGCTTCGAGGACCATTTGTCAGAGTTTGTAATGAAATTGGAAACTGGACCGAGGATGAACCAACATGTGAAGGTAAGAAGGCATACAAATACTCAGAAAATTAATTCGCCTACATAATTTATCATCTTTTATACCCTCTTATTGTGATGGACAGGCAATTTCAACTGTTATTGCTTTTGTTTCTCCCTCGCCGTTTCTACACTCGCTCCAGACCTTTCGTTCGACTGATTGACCGCGTCGCTCGCGTTCCCAAAAAATACGACTATTTTGCAGTCTAATAGTTGAAAGAGGGAAATGATTTTATCAAGTTTAAACAAAGGAAACCGTGACGGTGTTTGAATATCTAATTTTAATTAGCATTAACATTAGATATTTTTATAAATTTTTCTCCTTAGTGTAAGTTTGGATTAAGAAGATATATCAAACACTGAAGACAGTGTTTTGACCACTTAAATACTCCGCTGCGCGTCCTATTTTCTACTCTCTTCTCGGTGTTTGGAAACGTGGTCAAACACCATCTTACGAGCTTGATATATTACGTGAAGCCCGGCAAACTTCAAATATATCAGGATTTGTGGTGAAGGTCCACGACCGTGTACAATCTTTTGTTTTGCCGCTGATAAACTCTGCATCCACTATGTATCCGAAATGTTTCTGTTTAGTTGGTCAGACAGTAAACGCCGAGTCACTTTACACCCCATGCCATGCATACCCTTTTTTTAACGCGCATGGTTTCATTCTTATTAACTGACAGGACCCGATTTTGAGCCATCAGAAATCCTCCTTAACAAAACTGAATATTGGGAGCTTCTCAAAGGTTGGCTGGGTTCTGTGTCCACACTGCCCTCCAAGTGGAAACTGTGTTACAGAGCTACTGATCATGGCTGGAGTTCCAGTACGTTTCACTCGCAGTGTAATGGCTTGGGACCCACGGTGACGTTTATTAGAGTGGGAGAGTATATATTTGGAGGATACACTGATCGAGACTGGCGTAAGTACAATGTGATAGATAACCGGGAAACGAGCCGTTAGTAACGGCTGTAAGGCTAAGTATCAATCATCCTATAAGAAAGCACTGTACATGAGGTGCAGGGTAAAAAACCAACGTGGCACGGAGTGAGTTGGCTATCTTATAATTGTGGAATAGAGCGGCTTTCAAACGAGTGTCGTAAAACCAAAAATCAAAGAAATCACTGTAGCCAATCAAAAAGGACGCAGGCAATCAAGTGAACCAATCAAAACTCGAAGTAATTTCACGTGGCTGATGCAAAGTGCGGGAAACCGTGTGCGGGGGAATCGCGATTGGTTTTGGTTTTACTTCTTATTGGATAACGAAGTGGCGCGAGTGTTTTTAAGCAAATCGTATAGTGATGCAGAACTAATTATTTTTCGACACTCAAATAAAATTCGGTCTGATGAAATAGTTACGAATAATTGTTAAATTAAACCCTGGTGCCTGGTGTCCATTGTGTCACTTTGGTCATCCTTTGGAATCTTACGAGAATTGGTTCGAGCTTACGTGACTTCACTCTTCAAATTTAGATCACTTTCCTAATTCATTTATGTTATAGATTCTGGCGGTTCTTACACAGACTCAACCGACAGCTTCATATTCTCATTTAAAAATTATTATGGACTGGAACCATTCAAGCTTCACGTTAAAGACTCCGACAACGCCATATATGGAAACAGCGGCTATGGTCCAACATTCGGCGGCGGACACGATATTTACATCGCCAATTCTGCAGGCTCCAACACGAATTCTTACAGCAACTTGGGCCATACGTACGTCCAGCTAGCGGGCTACAGGTATCAGTCGAGTGATACAAGAAGCGTGCTTGCAGGAAGTTATAACTTCCAGCCTCATGAAGTAGAAGTATTTTATCAGACTCACAAGAACTGATATCACTTGGACCTACTTGGCCTGTAATTAGACTTCCCTGAAATATGTTTCTGGTACAGCTAAACATTTACAGTAACTATTCATTGGATGCTGACATAAAAAAGCTTTTTAAGGAAAGAGTCGTCAAATCAGTAAGCGTGGAAAAGCCACTCGTCATTAAGGTGTACGAAGTGACCATTTTAGTATGTTTCTGTGGACAAGTGAATGCTCCATTGTTAAAATAAAGTTGTCCTTTTGACTCTTGGTAATTTCCCTGTTTTATAAAGTGTATAACAACGTAGTTGATTTTTTAAAAGAATTTTGGCGAGGTGACACATGTAAGTGCTGAAACGAAATACATAAGCTTGCTGAAATCAGTGTAATCAGAGTCTTGTTGTAATTTTAGGGCATTTGTGAGCACGACGCGGCCAAGACATGATGACGGACATGATTTATTGACCGAAGCTCTAAACCATTTGCTAGTTGTTGGTTGAAAATGTGGTCGTGTATCATTTAAAGGGACACTATCACAGCCATGTTTCTGCTGGATTTCGTTCCAAAGTAATTAAAATATGACTAAGGACTTTTTATAGTACCACGAAATGCCCCTACAACACCAAGATGGAAATATTGAACTGTTGAAGGAAGGGCTAAATACAAGAATCTTTTTTAGTGATTACATAAAGACATGAGGGCAGAATTTGAAAAAGTAAGCCAACAGGTTCAATACAACCATTGATTACATTGTTCATTAGACCACTCCTTTTATAGTTTCAGTGCACATATGTAGTACTTTGTTACAAAACTAGACATTTATTTTAAGGTTGCTATCAATGAAAATAAACCCACGACAGTGTCCCTTAAGGACGTTCGCGCCAATTGTTTCTGCGTATACTTACTGCGCAAGCAAATTCACACGCCACGTCATGCATGAGAGCGCGCGCCAGGTAATAAAATGAACAATGACGGGGAAGATGGTCATTGCTATAGCTTTGCCTGGATTTAACGATCTTGGACGTTCGGTGATCCCTATTTTTCTTTCGATGGATCATTTTCTCTACCGATTTTCCACATTTGGCGAAAAAATGAAGAAAATCTGTTGACTAGAAGTTTGAATTTTTTGCAAAATGCGCCATCGAATTCCGTTCTTTTAGCTCTTCGTTTATCTGTGCGACGGTTTCAAACGCCTCTTTAAGGGTTAAATTTTGTGAAACCGTTGGTAACATTTGGAATTATTAACGCAACAGCCCACTTCTACAAAATATGAGTAAGATCGTTTGCCTCCGTTGACTCACCTTCGTTATTTTTAACTGTAAACACCTGTAGACCATGCTCAATTATTTGCGCCAAGTTTTCAAAATCTGGGTAGTTTTAATTTCCACACGCTCTAGCTTTGAAACAAAGTCGGTGACCCCCAATTTTTTTTGCATTTCTGACACAAGTAACTAATTATCTGACTGCAGTAAAAATTTTAAAAAAATCTATCGACTCGAAAATTTTCGCACGAATATCCTGAAGCTCTATCCATAGACTTAATGAACTAGAACCCGCCCCACTTAAACAGCGCTCGATCAACGAGAGGACTGTTGACAAACAACTCCGGCCGCAGACTCACTGCAAGTCGATATTTTTCCGACTCTCGACCGATGAGGGAAAATTGCAAATTTAGATCACCCACCCTGCCGCTGCCACTTGTGTGGCCAATTTTCGCTTGCCCGCTTCGAGCTTGGGGTAACCATTGAAAACTTGTCAGTTCCAGGGGCAAGTGTGTGCGTGTGTTTGAAAGGGTTTTAGTTCTTATTTCTCTAGACGAGGTAAAAATTAAAGAAAAGAAAAGAATTTCTTACAATCCACGGGCCTGTTATTATTATTCTCTAAGGTAATCAACATCCTCTTTCTCATATAAAACGTCTACTCATGACGAGAATAATTATTACCCTGAAGATAGTATTAAAAGGAAAGTGTGGTGATCACAAATATTTAAGAAATTTAGCACTTAGATCTCTTACTAGACGAAGTAGAAAAAGCTGTTATTTACGAGCACCTCTATCGTTATACAGTACTTAAAAAAGTAGACAATCACTTCTACATCCCAAAAGCCGAGAAAAAGGTACCTGCGGGAAAAACTCCCCGCGGTTACAACACTGTGAACCAGCACAGTTATTGACAATTTTAGTATTAACCAGGCCCAGGAAAATAACCGTCAGTACGTTTGCCACGCAACCTGTGTCCACAGAGGTGTTTCGTGGCGATAACATAGACGACAGAACAATGAGCAAGATAACAATTGGACCTATGACTTTTCAAAGATTCACGAAATAATTTTAGCCCTTCCAAACTCTCCAGCCTTTGAAATGAAGATATCAGAAGAAGATAATTAGTGAGTCGATAACCTATCAGAATCCATTTTCTACCTTCTGTTATCAATATACATGTACAAAGGTCGACTACAAGAATTAAGGTGTTACTCTTCAGTTCAAAGCGTGAGGGATAAGCATTCGCATGAACGACAGACATCACTTGTTTTGATGATTGTATAAAACAACTTCACCAGGTCAATAGCTAATTCTATCTATAGGATCTTACAACTGTTTCTGCAGACGAGTTACCAAGGAAAAAATTAACAGCTAAACATGGAATTGACAGAGATTATCACATAAGAGCTTTTGATCGACCAGGGAAACTATTACAAAGTGTCTCAAAAACTCAACATCTGTTTGAATCAAGTGCATTATTAACGTACTTGTCAGTTCCTGCCGTCGGATTTTTCATTGTTTGCCAGTGAAGTGCACGCAGCACTCAAAAAATGTGAACCTTGAACAATTCAACAAGGAACCTTTTCAACCCAATCCTTCATTTTTGTATCCTCCTTCTCAGACCCCGCACTCGTTATGGTTTGTGAGACGGGATCTGTAATGTAAAGAAGGGAGTACGTTCCGGCAACGAAGTTGCTTTACATTCCTACAAATTTTCAGTTATCTACGAATCAGGTTTCCTAGGCCCCTGGCTTGATGTCCCCACGTGAATAACTCTAGTTCCCTGGATTCTAGCCTGTCCACTTACAACCCGTTGAGCAGGATGAGTCACTCCAGGGGCTTTATCCGGTGTTTGGGGTAAAAGTCGCCGGGGACGCGGACGAGAAGCTTGATCACTCCTTGCGGATGGAAGCGGTGCTTCTTTTCTCAATCCCTGCTGCCTCTTGGCGTTTCTCCTTCTAACAGCTGGGTTAGCATTAAAGGACACTCCACCAAATGGATCTTCCGAGTTGTCCATGAAATCTGCCGCAGGGTTTACCAAACCGGACGGATCCTCGAACGCAGAACCTTGAGCTGCGTCGCGCTCAACATTTCCAATAAATGGCGATGAAGCCAATACATTAGAAGTTCCTGCCACTGTGCCACCTGCATTTACCGCAGGATAAGGGCTTGAAAGGCCAAATGAATCTGCTACCTGTTCGGAAAGATGATCGTCCGTAGGTCTCTTAGTCAATTGTTCATCGTTGCTTTTTGGTTGCGATGGAGAAGGAACAGTAAATGGCGAAGAACCAAATGCATCAGGCGAAGGTGGTGGCAGTTGTTTACTTTTATGGACCACAAAGGGTGCAGCACCGAATGGATCAGAAATCCCCGGTGAGAGAGGTGGGTTAAAGTTGGAGACCTCTGGCAACTCACCGCCCTCTGGTTCACTATCGCTTGACACCTGATCCACCATATTCAAATGCTGCTCGATATCAGAGGTACGATAGCCTTGGAGAAATGGGTTATTACCTTCCTGCACAATTTGGGTTACGTTTTGCTGTGGATCAACAATATTACCGTCTCTAAACTGGGAAGAGGAATCTTCCTGATCTACAATTTCAAAGGTAGCATTTTGCTGGTAGGACTCTGGCACGTGGCTACCAAATGCAGTAGCTCCAAACATGTCAGCCTCTTGGTGCACATTAGATGTTTGTGGGTTAACAACGTTGGCTACATGATAGGTTGCATTAGGGTCACCACGAGACTTATCCACTTCACTCTCACGCAGTGAAGCAAAGTCGTCATCAGTAACATCGCTAGGGTTAGCTAAGAAATCTTGCTCTTTAGACTGGTAAAATGGACTAAACGGATTCCAGTGAGGTGTGGATACATCGTTGGACTCAATGTCAACTAGAGGCATATCTGTAGGTTGAGTCTCCTTGGTGAGGTTAAGAGAAGGGTCACTTGGACTTCGATAGTGTGAGTGATAAGAGGTTTTCCCGTTTGGCACAGGAGTAAAAGATGCTGTTTGAACCTGCCCGTTCCTTTCACTGACACCTGCAAAATTAGGATCAGACCTGGAGCGGTTGTGTGACATGTAGCGTGGACGTAACAATCTGGTATCACTGATGTTCTCTAGCTTTGCTTCTTGTGACACGGCTGGTCTAACTTCTTGAGAATGCTGAATTGATACATGCGGCTGGACAGGACCGTAGTCAGACTGAGCTGTCGGTTGGTAGTCATAAAATGGATTGAGCTGGCACTGGTCAGAGTCGTGAAACAACTGTTGGGCTAGACTTTGCTGCTGTTGGACGGGATGCGGCTGGGCAGCAGGCGGGTATTGTTGCCCTGAGTGAACCTCCCTGTGATAGTTCAACTGTTGCTGAGCCAATTGTTGTTGCTGAAGCAGGTGTTGCTGTTGTTGCTGTTGAAGTAATCGTTGTTGCTGCTGCTGTCGAAGTAACATCTGCTGCTGTTGTTGTTGATGTTGTAAGTATTGCTGTTGGGCTAACTGCTGTTGTTGTAGATACTGCTGCTGCAAGTACTGATCCCTAGCTATTTGCTGCTGATAAGCATATTGTGGACCCTGCTGGGCTTGACGGAAGACTGCTGAAGCTGGGGCCACACCAATATACTGTCCAGTGACTAGGTCTGCTCTCGCTGGAGCAGCAGCTCCTCTGGGATCCTGTTGTCTCACGTTTACTTGGGATTGCTGATTTGATGCATAATGTTCTGGGCCCATCGGTTGCTGTTGCGAGATGTTCCTTCTGTTCTGTCTGGGACTGGCCATGTGACTCAAGCCATGAGCCTGCTGAACATCTAGCGTTCCTCTTTGTGCTTGAGTGTATTGCTTGCGGCTTTGCTGAGGACTTGCAATGTGGCTCAGATGCGATGAGGCCTGAGCAGCAGTCAACTGCTGAGCACCTTGGCCCGCCCGTGGTCGCTGACGAGGAGCAAGAGATGTAGTGACCGGACCTTCAGGTAGCCTGCAACAAAGACCCAAGCTTGAGTTATAGTCCTCAGTCTTAACCATTGACCTGCTTACATGGTCACAAATAACACACTTTACTGATTGGAAAGCTATAGCTTTTATTTTTTGGAGAAAGCAATTTTCACCAGACCAAAGCTGATGATGATGCCCACACTCACAATAAAAAACTGTGATTCCTTGCATTTGAGGCTGATTCTAAGCATAGCAAAAAGTTAATTAGCGTAAAGATCAGTTTTAACATTACCGTTCTAGGTACTACTCACCTTGCTTTAGGAGTGACACGGCCAGTGTTTTCTACCTTCTGCTGTCCTTCAGGAGACACTTCAGGAAGAGAGTCTGGTATTTTAACACCCTATGACAAACAAAAAAAAAATGTTCAGCATCGAGCTTTCACAGTAGATGAATGTTTTGCAGCGTGAGCAGTTTTCAGCACGCCATTTCAGAATTCACTGAGAGAAGAGTATGGTGAGTTATTGGCAGAAGAAATTTATAGGGAAGGCGATGGACTTTGACTCGCTCCAGTTTTCCTTTTTCTCTGATTGTTCACGTTACGGAAACAAAATATCACGGATATCATGAATGAAATCAAATGAAATTTATTTACTCAGCTCAGTTAACTATCGTACACAGATTGCAATATAGATAAATCAATTAAGTGGCATTCACTGAGTTTACATAAGGATTTCCAGCTTACTGGCAAGAGAATAGTCTCTCGCATTAAGAATCATGAAATCATGGGAGATCAGTTTGCAATTTATACGTTTTTCTAAAGCACTCTTAAATAATTAATGCAACCACATTAAGCTTTACAAACCTTTGTGTTAACAACAGGACAGTCAACTCCTCTGAGTTTAAATGCCACGTAGGACACTTGGAAGATATCTGGTCTGCTGTCTGGGTCTGGGTTAAGAATGTAACCTAAAACAAGCACACAAAATAAAGCGATATTCACCAAGGCCAGGTTGTTCAAAACATGATGAAGCTAAACCAGAATTAACAAGAATTTTGATTTCACCGTTGTAATTTTTTTGTAAGGTTTTATGTTTATATTGTCTGCTCTTCAGTTGTGAGTTTGAAAAATCTCAAACTACACAAAACACAAGTAGCAAAGAACATTTTATACAAGGAAAATTTATACTTTGGTTAACTTCTGATCCTGGGTTAGCGTTAACAGTCTTTCACACAACCCGGCCCAAAATGTTACATCGGAAGGTAGCACTGTTTTATTTTAGCATGATTACCTACCGTTATCACAAGACACCCCTACACTAAGTGTGCCACTATACAGGGATATTCCAGCAGACCAGGATCCTCCAAATTAATTTAATGTAAGGGCATGATAAATAAAACATTAAAGGTACATGTGGGTAAGGTCTGCATACAAGTCAAGGGGCCCATCAGGTTTGCACTTATCTCCGGTTTCTGTAACACAAAGCGACCAGGAGTATTTCTACTCCCCCTTTAATGGGATGCTAGTCTATCGCAGGGTTACCCCCAGCATTAAAATCACTGTTGCCGATTTATACACCTGGGCGGAGAGAGGCAATGTGAGAATAAAGTGTGTTGTCCAAGAATACAACACAATATCCCCAGCAAGGTTTGATGGGAGCACTCTATCCAGAGTTGAGTGCACTCATCATGAGGCCACCAAGCCTCAAACCATTAGAGAAACCACCTCTCGAATCCCACTTGTAAATCTACTATTTTATGTACACAATCATCACAGCTCACTATCTTATGATTACACAATTTTTCCATTGAGGAAATACAGCTATAATATAGGGAATAACTATTCAAGGGCTTAGACTCCAGGAGAATATGTGAAACTCAAGGTAACCTGCGTAGCAGCCGTTTCCTTTCCTTTCCCAGGTGGAGAGATCAAACAAGCGAGCAAGCAAGCCGGCGAGTGAAGGAGTTCACCTGGAGTGAACAAAAAAATGTGGAGAAGTGGGGAGGGGGTGAGCAAGAAGGGGGAGCCCTCCCCCTGCTCCCTATTTTTGGCACTTGCTTGCAGTTTCCTTCCCTTTGCATGCTTTTTGGGAAACGCCTGCTACGCAGGCTAAGCTCAAGGCAAAGCGTGGGCCGTTTGCCTACAAAATAATAATAATAATAATAATAATAATAACAAAAACAAAACTTACTGATGAGTCTGTGGAGTTCAGTTGAATGGCGAGAGCTTTCAGGGAATGTGAACTGACCACTCTGTATGGCCAGTGGACTCTCACCAAAGGGGAGAGTAAAGAAACATAGCTTGTAAAGAAGACATCCAAGAGCCTTAAAAGAAAAACAAACAAAAAAGAATTAGACCAAATTAATAAATGTGCCATGCTGCACACTGAATAGGATCATTTCTTTACTTTACACAAGGTGTCAACCATTCTTAATTGTCTATTTAACCCTTTTCTACTGCAAAGTTACGGGTCTTACCCATTAACATGTTAGCAGGTAACTTTAATATAACATCACTGAACTGTACAGAACTGTTAGTAGCTTTCTGTTGACAGTTGTGAATATGAACCACTGTACAAACAAAACATGCAGTTCTCACTGAATTGTAAACTACATGCAGAAATTAAAATGTGGTCTGTTTGGAGAGCCCTGGAAGCTGAATAAATAAACCCAAACAGCCCCCAGTATCTCCTCCTACTCAGCTTACACTATGAAGTTCCTAGAAAAACAGGAGATTTGCTCAGGCAATAGTAGTTTCAAATCTCAAAGTTTTAAAAAACATTATGCTGTCTGTGGAGCTGCAGTAATAGCTGTCACTGGTCTGTTTGCTGGATAATTGCTATCACTGCTGTGTTAGCTAGTAAAACAGAAAATAATTTGTAGTCACACTAAAATTCAGATGTAATTCTTTGAGCTAGCTAATACTCATTCTCTGTTACTCTGCCCACATGTACAGTGTAATTATAATTTTGGTAAGGCCATTGTTTACAGCATAATGCATAGTATAGAACAATAATTGTTCTATACTATGCATTATGCTGTAAACAATGGCCTTATTAGTCAACCAATCAGAGAGCTTAGCTTTTGCAAACAGAGATGAACACATACTTTGTGTACACACACATGAAGCTGTATTTGAAAGTGCTATTCCCTCAAAAGATTGTTTGAAGTGTGGTTGAAGTACATGTATGCTGTGCAAGAACTTTTGACTTACAGAAATATCGTTAACCTAACGCTTCTGAGCTTACCCAGATATCAGCTTTAGTTGAAATTGATTTGCCACTATATAAATCAACCATCTCAGGAGCTCGATAAGACAATGTTGTATACCTACAAAAACAATTCAAACAAATCATAAATTTAGGAGTCCAGTCCTTGGAGTAACATACAATGTGTTAACCCTCCATGATCAGAGATACTGTAGGAAAAATGTTTGTATAACAGTGACGCTGAAATGTTTTGTCTTAATTTTCTGATCAATTTAGTTTTACAATACTTAGATAAATTTCTTAATGGCAAGAGAACCAGCAATCTAATCTTCCTGGCAGCAAATCAAAATGGCAAAAACAGCATTACATTTTGCTGAGTTTTCATGTCATTAAAAACACAATGCAAATCAGTTCTTTGGCAATAACTCCAGAATCCCACCTGCAGACATTGTGCAACTTACTTTTGTATTTCCTCTTCTACTTTGGTAACACCTTCATCCTGTGGAGACAATTTAAGGACTGGGATGAAAGAGATACTTATTTAGATTGTGTTCTATAGAAGTGTGAAATGTCAGAGGTATTGTGCATTCTTAGAACAACACAATTTAACACAAACACTGTACTTATAACAACGCCCTTTATTTACTAAATAACAGAAGCAAAGGTCCCAAAATTTATTTCTTTTATCACTTTTGTCTTATATATATATGTCTACAAGGCAGACACCTCTATCAAACACACACAGACACCTTAACAGTGGCTTCCATTGAGTAAAACCTGAAAGTATCAGGTTAAAAAAAGTTATTTGAATTGGCCATACAAAAACTGGGGCCTGAAGTCAACATCATGGTGGACCAAACAACAACATTTGTGTTTACATTTAGGACTAGAATTTTTACTTCAATCAGTTTGTAATGACCCAAGGATGAATCCTTACAAAACAATATGTAATAAGAAGTCTTCACATTGTCTCTGAAATCAGTGATGTTCTCTACCTTCAATTGATGCATGTATTAACAGCCAGAGCACCACTGAAAACAAGAGATGGACACGGATGCTGGACTACTAAGTTAAGTTTTGTATCAACATTCATGTGATCACTGTTCTTTTATTGTGTAAAGCAACATCATATAAACCAAAAAAGATTTTAAATCATAAAGCTTTTTAATTACCTTTTAAATTGTCAAATTATTCAAAGGGCCTAATATTAATAAAACTCTGCAAATGAATGTTGATTTTTTCCAGACTTCGCTCAACAGCCTATGACTGGATGGCAGGCCAAAAGAAGATACAAATTAAAGCATGGTCATTTTGCTCACTTAACTGTGTGCTATTTCACTTGCTAGCATGCCATTTCACTAAGTGTCGAGTTATACAGACTTCTTTGGTCAATCTAACATGCGCCTTTGTTTTCATTGTGCTACGCATACAATAGAAAAATTCTAATTAGCTGTGCAAATGTGACACACTGCTTGGAACCCGGCATGTCATTTCACTCATTGCCTATTGTTCAACGTGTCAATTAAGTGTGTCCATATGTTAACCTTATTCCCTGCTTTCTTGTAGAGAGTCACAATTAATAGCCATTCACATCCTCTGTGTTTCCACATTTCAAACTAACCTGTGGATAAACAACTTTTCTAGTTGCACTGCCATAGTCGCATAATACAAAGTCTCCACGGTCACTGCGTAAAATATTCTCAACCTGAAAATCAGTGATTAACTGCATGAAATATTCATTGTATTTGCCCTGAACAATTCAAGTCAGTCACCAGGGCTCAAAGTTAACTACCAACTGGTCGCATTTGCGACCAGATTTTTGGCTGTGTGCCTAAAAAATCATGTGTGGTCGCACCACCGTGCCTCAAAAGCCAAAGTACAGTGGGACTTCTCTAGTGCTTACTCACCTGACCATACTAACATAACTCTNGTTAATATCTAAGCTTAACTCTTCTATGAAATATCCTGATTCTTTTATTTGCTTTTGTTGTGTTCAATACTGCTAGAATAGGCCCAAAAAGCAACACGAAGCCTGAGTCACTCTTTTTGGAGCTTTAAGTATGCTGTGCGCCTAAAATTTTTAACTCTGCGCCTAAAATTTCAGCAGTGCGTGTTAAAATTGACACCTGGTCGCACAAGTGCTCCCAAAACCAAAAATAAACTTTGAGCCCTGGTCACTCATTACTAACAATACTCAGGCAGCAGCCCATACTGCTGGCATTTACAGAAAGTATTCTGTAGCCTATAGTGAGTCTGTACTAATAGTATTTCTACTCCTCCCTGGATGAGATCTCAGGGTTACCCTGTACCGTTTAATTCTCATTACCTATTTATACACCCCGATGAAGAGAGGTACTGCAAGAGTAAAAGTGTTTTGCCCTGATGAGTGCACCTACGATAAGGCCACCAGGTCTAGCAACTTGAATTCCAGCTTGCCCATTGGACAAGTAGCTCTTGAATTTTGCTCATCCTGAACAAGTCTTAGTTTCCTCTTTTAATGACTCAGTTGGCAGATGACTTGCCCGATCCCTTACCCATTGGGCAAGTGGGAGTGAAAAGTTACTTGCCAAGAATGGAGACTATTGTAAATTTTACAACAATTCCTGTACATACACCCACCCCCTGATACAATGCCCACTGTTTCAGTGGAGATTTGGAAACCCTTTTATTAGGCGATCCCATACTTTTACACCTGAAATGCCACAAAGGTTGCTCGAGATATCTACTGCTCTAAAGGGTTCTTTTGAACAAAAAGAGACTATTAGAAATTTTAATTTGCTCATGCAAAGGTCTAATCTTCTGTTATTTCCTTTGACTTACACGAATCCTAATTTTCTTGCACTGGGCTGGGTTGCTCAAATCCCCATTTTACAGCTGACCAAGGATTAGCGAGATTTTGATTTCAGTTTTTGTAACACTTGGTGGCGTACAACCATACCACAAATGTAAATATAAATATACCACTCAAACTAACTTGTCAAGTACATGCACCTGGTACAAATAGTCATATTCATTTCTACACTTAATGAGATCAAATGAGTGCAACTTTTTGATGAAGATGATGGATGTTGCATGTTCCTTGTTTATTATTTAATCAACCTGGTTAAATGCATAAGCGATTAATGACCCGCCTAGGTTAGCACTTGCTATCCGCAGGCCAAATTACATGTAATTTTAAAATGAAGGAAAATAGAGATTATTGTTGTTGTAACACTCAATGTAATTTTACAACTTTAAAGTGTTGTTTCTTGAATGTCAATAATATCTTGTTTGTTGTACCTTGGTAGTAAAGTACACTCACAGTACACATAACAGCACTGTCAAGTTATAAAATTATGTACATGTATGGTACCTTCAGGTGAAACTATTCCTACCTTAAGATTTATTTAGCAAGGAAGCAAGTGATTACCTTAAGATCCCTGTGAATAACAGGTGGGTCAGCTTGATGCAGCTTGGCGACAGCTTCACAGGTGTCAGTGAATACCTTCAGCACTAATGATTCACTGAAACCTGAACTGATGTGTTCATTCATAAGCTGCACAACATGGCCCTCTGTGGAAGAGAGGGACAAGCAAAATGAAGTAATAATACAATTGAAATACATGCACTGTACATTTAAGGTAATTTCCCTGAAATAAAACTGCCAATAGATTTTTGTTCAAACTTTGTCCACTGAATATTTATCATATGACAACTTTAATTATGAAATAAAAAAAGGGGGTGCCCATGCTCGTTAAGGGGCAGTGAGGCATTGAAAATGTCCCATTTTAGCATTATTTAACACTTATTACAAGAATGCATTTCAAGTTATTGTAAACTCGTTGTGAGCCAAGACTCACGAAAACACACCTCAAACTATAGTTAATACTTGTGTTGGACACAAATAAACTTTTTAAGTTTGATTTTGACAGACAGCTGGATCCTCGTTAAAATATTAGAACCAAATTGCTTGCCACGGCTATCAAACTGCAAATGGAAAAGACTACAGAGCAGCTGCCATTTTCGATATATATTCAATTTTCAACAATAGAAATCAGATCAGTCTTTTCTCACCCAAAGCTAATGATTAGTTGATTAAAATGACTGGAAAAAAATTTGGGGTGCCCAAACTCCTTAGTGAGCTATAGCCATTTTACAACTGACAGAACTCAATATCAAGGCAAATCCGCCATGTTTTTGTTGAGCGTGTGCACGAGCGTGGGCTAATGACACCAAAAATTTTGCACAGTAAGGATGCGCAATGCAAATGTGAGGAATCTCCTTAAATGGACAGACTCATAAAAACACATATCCAAGCACAATGTTAGTTAAAGTACAATAATGGTGATTTCCATTGGGAGAGGTGTGTATGCAAAGGAGTGCTACATGTATGTCAATGACCTTTTAATGTAGTCAGTCAATCATATTGTAAGTACTAAATAGAAAACATGTACTATGTTTCTATTGAGTTTTTCTACTAGTGTTCTATCACAAATGCTGTGCAACCATTAAAACCTCCATTGGTATTTTGATTATCTCTGCACATTGCAAACTCCAAAGGTCTTTAATGGTCTCAACATGCAAAGCTCACATGCAGAGAGCATTTTTCCTTTGTTGCTTTCACATATCATGAGCATCACTGTGAAACTGAAATGTTTCAATTTTTAACACATGACTTATTTACACCTGGAACACCATTATCAGTTCAAGAATCTCCACTTTTTCTTGAGAGGAGCTGAAGACGTTACACAGGCAACTACAGAACATACCTCGGCAGTATTCCATCAGAATAAGCACTTCATAAATGCTAGGGGCAATCTGATTGATAGTACACCCGAGGTAGGAGATGGCATTCTTGTGGCCAGACAAAAGTTTCTGGAACATTTTTTTAAAAACAAGCACAAGTGACATATTGTACATTTTCTAAATGCACAGTTCTCAAAAAGGGACAACTTGAAAAAGAGAACAAAGAAGCAAAAACAGGAGAGCCCACATGTGAGAGTAGCACATGTACAATGCTTTCTCACCAAAGTTTGCATCTTGCATAATTATGCCTTACTAGAATCCAAGCTGCACATGTTTTTATTGCCCTCAGTGTGAAAGGAAATGTTACATGTAGTTTCATTCTTTCAAAAAATAACTTTTGGGCCATCTTGCTGCAATATCTTATGAAATGGGCCAGAAATATGNCACAGAAATGACTTGGTAAGTTGTTATTACTGTAACAACATCCTTAAATGTGATATTTGCGATTTTATGCTCAGATTGAATCGGGAAGCAATACATATACGTGCTATTCAAAGGTGTTGTCGCACAGTGTAATCGAAATGTGAGTAAATGACAATTTCCATACGCTTCAGCTGGGACTCGGTCCATCTATAAATGACTGGATATCAAGCTTCAGTTAAGGAAAAAGAAATCACTGACTTACATCTGTCATAGTTGAAATACTTCGAAAAAAGATCCACTCCTAGCAACTGACGTTACCTCAACACTAACCAACGACTCCACCAAGGTATAGAAAATGAAATGCTAGCGTCTGAAACACACAAGTTTACCTTCAGCAATAACTTCTTCTACCACACATTGACATCGTCCTACAACGAATGACTTGCCCACAAAGCTACTTTGATGGTCGCTCCCTCCACCCGACGAGAAAAACTTCTTCATTATGCACCTGTATCAAGCCCCCCAAGTCCAAAGCACGGTCTTTTGATAAGATTACATGTTGCAACATGAAGCCGTACTCATGAAATTATCAAACAGGAAAGATCTTCTTTCAAATATCGATCTTCTACAATAAATCACTTTCGACTGAAAAAACATGGCGAAAAACTCTACCCATGAGCCTTTGCAAAGTCAGACTTCCGGTAAAAAGTAGCTCCGCAAAAGCTAATTCCGGTTGACCCTAGAGTAGAGAACTGGGAACTACTAACACCGAGTACGCAATACTACTGATCCAGTCAGCGGTAACATTGAAGAGACGCCATCATGCCGGACAGATCACAGAGAACAGGCGAAAGAACTGACAGAAAAAGGATTTATTCTACAGTTGTGGTGTCTAAATCCTTTCAAAAAGCTCGAGATAAAAGGTAAGTAGGCTAAGATAAAAGTTTAACCGAGTTTTAGAGATGAAACGGCCATATTCAGTTACTATTCGTGTTGATTGTTAGCCGCACATGTGCAGCTGGCGTTTACTAGCATAATGGTATCAGAGATGTGTGTTTCAAACATCCTACCATTTGATATTTAAACCCTTTCAAGAGTTTTTTTCTCTAATTATCCGGATAACGAAATTGACTCTGATCGTGAACAAATTCCCAGGAAAATGTGTGTTTACATGCGACCATTATATTTACATAATTTACCCCAACGCTGTTCATTTGGCTGATTGTCCTGAACTCGTTTATAGTTTGTTTGTACAATGTGTATTGTTTATATGTTTAAACTAAACAGTAAATTTAGGTTAATTGGTAAATTCTGATGGAATGGAAATTGTGTTCACAGGCCTACACGACTCCTCTAGTTCATAGGTGAATTGGTTGTAAAAGGCTTCACAGCTTAGCTTTTACTTGGACGGCTTTTAGGGATTTTCCCTTGTGGTATGAGATGAGGTGGGAATGGGGCTCCTTGACTATTTTTCGTAGTTTTGGTTGATTCTGTTTAGGGTGCATTCTCCATTAGTGTGTCCTTTAGGCTGCACGATGCCAGGTAGTATTACATGTGTGTTACAAAGCACATAAGTTTTTTTTTTTTTTTTTTTTTTCTGGGCGAGTGACTTTTTTCTATATTTTCGTCAGCTTTGGCAGGTAATTGATCTGCTTGTCACTGACAAATCATGATATTTTGCTCGACCTTGTACAATAATTGTTGATTATTTACTATGTATACTAAATATAAGGTGATATCCAACAACACAGGGACTCTTCTAAAGAGAGGAGGGAAAGGCGTTATAGGCAGAGATCCCCAGATGATGTCCGTGAATCTGACAGACCTGAGCAAAAATTGCACATGGACCGTGATGAGATTAGCAGGGAACGTCGAAGACAACGATTAAGTGAAAGGCTAGGTCATCGAGGCAGAAGGAGTGATGACCATGAGGAAAATGATCGCAAAGACAATAACACCAGCAGATGGAAGGAAAGAAATCAGCGATATAGTAAGAAGACCAACATTCTGTTAAATAAAATTGTTAATTTTGTCGAAGTAAGTCCATGTTAGTTCTAGCACATGTAGACATGTTCAAAACATGTAGTGGCACTGTACATGTACTACGAAATTTGATGGTCCAGTAGTGTTTTTGGAAGTGGCTATGAGATTTTTGGGAACTACTGGAACTCAAAATGAACAAGTTCTACAGTCATTACACAAAAATCTCTTTCGAGCGATAAAAGGCTGTAATCTTGAGCAATTATTTTAATTGTCAAATAATTTGTATAAACTAGAGGTTTTGTGGTTAACCCTTCTTCAGTATGTTGAAATGAGTGAGCCACACCATACCATATACACTTACTACATTACCATACCACATACTTAGTGGACATGCCTTGCCATTTTGAAACATGCAGAAGAAGGACAAATCCCAAAACACCCAGCTTGTGCAAACTATTACTAATTAAAAACTTAAGGACTTTTTTCAACTTTTATTACCTTTGCATCATAGTGCATGGATCATACCAGTTTTCTGCTCATTTCTTCCTATCTCTTTCAAGTCTTTGAGCATAGTGTAACAAAATAAAACAGAAAACAAGACCTTGATTAGGAGGTTGATAATGAGAAGTTATACATATCATCACTCTGTGTGATTATGTGTAGATGGAATGAAAAATGTCTCTCAGTCTCTTTCAAGCGTCAGATTGAAAGCTTAAACAAATTAACCTTGACATGGTCCCATTAGGAACTACATTTGAATTTAGGTATAACCTGATGGGTTATATTTGAGGCGGGGGGGAGGGGGGATGCGGTTGTTGTTTGATGGAAATTTGTGTATGAGATTTGGGAGGCTTAATATTTGATGAGGGAGCTTTAATCTATTATTGTAATTATCATTAGTTATTTGCTGTGGAACTCAGAAAACCATGACAACCAGAATGTTATTGTGCAGCAAGGAAAATACCAATTAAGTGCAAGGAAACTAATTATGAACCACAAACAGCAATGGTAAACAGTTTGTGGTAACATATACATGTAATACCATATAACATAAAACCTTTATTTTGACACAATAAGAGTTAAAGCTACAAAGCTTGTGGGGCCGTGTATACTACTGATCAGAACTAAAATACATCAATCGAAATATATACTTGTGTGCCAAATCAAAGTATCAATCTAGGACCTTAAATATTAATTCAAGTTTCTAAAAATAGATCGTTTTCACTGTCATGCAATCAAAAAAATATATATTGAAAACCATTCAGTGGATAAAGTCAAGAAATTGTGATATTATAGGAAATAAATAAAGAAGACACTTCTCCAAATTTTAGGTCTGTGAGTTTTCCCAAACTGCAGATATTCATCAAAATGTTTCATAGAAATTTACAGAGTTCAGTATGAAGCTGCCATGTTGGTGCACCTCTGTGGTGCACCAACATGGTGGCTGGAAAGGAGTATAAACATCTGGAACTTACTTTGGCTATCTAGGCAACTGATTATCTGTACTGAGCAAACAAGCATTTACATAAGCACTTTTCCCAATGCTCTAACTTCTAAAAAAGCTCAATATCATGAGATAGGTATATAGTTTTCGACAAATGCGATCGTAGCTTTGTGTCACGCACTGCCATAAAATTGTAAACAGATATAAATGCACCCCCTCTTATGCTTGATGGGGATAAAAACTTTCATGGTTCTTTAGTTTTTTGATTTTAGAAATATCTGGATGTGGAGGCAGTTGAACTTTCGATGAGGAATCTGTTGTTTTGAGGTGCCTTTGCATGTCCTGAGCTTTATTGTGATTGGTCAGTAAACATTTAACCTGTTAGAATCAAATCAAAGTGTACACAGTTTTCTGGGTTTAACAGTACTGAGAATTAACCGTCTGCCTTTTCATTATCTAATCTATAATCAAATGTTCATTTTTGTAATTACAGCTCAAGGAAGTAGAGGCCCTCCTGTCACTAACCCACAGAGACGTACTGTTTTCGACCGTCTGGACCCAGGCCCACCCAGAGATAGAGGATTTGTTAGAAATTTACAAGGTGGAGGGCCTAGGGACCAGAGAACAGTTGAAGTTGAAGTTAATCCGCAGGATGTGCCTCGAGGAAAACGTTACTTTATGGTAGGTGGATTGCAGTACAACTTAGACTAGTCTGTACATGTAACTGGAAAAGCTCTTACCTGTACTACATTTTATTTTCTCACATTGTATGTATTTTTCATTTGCCTTGAGCTTTCCTGGCTTCAGACCAATCAGCCTCATCAAATGAAAGTGAAAGAAGTGTTTCAAATCTGCCATTTGAAGTATTTATTTTGTGAAACTACTGTACATAAAATTTAAGTTTAAGGAAATGTTGCATGTAGTTAATAATTAGAAGGTTTTACATTACCAAAACTCATGTGTAATACAGATAAGCAGGACCTTTTTTGGTATTGCAGCCCTGTGAATTTTTTTTTAGTAATAGGCAAAATAACAAAAGTAGAATGTAGTAGAGGCCATGGATAGATGGATTTGTTAACAGTCAGGATTAGTAAATTCCTGTGTGAATAGGCCATTTTCAAGTTGCTTTTACCTCTTTTTCAAAATGAATCTTGGTGCAAAACCTTTCATGAATATGGAAATGAGATTTTCTTGCACATTTATTGTCTTGCAAATTTGACTCATTTCCATATGAAAGGTTTTGCACATGACCAGAACTCCTTTGAGGTTTTGAAACAGAGGGAAAAAGCAACACAGAATTGGCTCATCACATGTAGACAGCAGATAACTGGACTGTAGACAGCTAAAATGCCAACTGCTTGAACAATTTGACAGCGCTGTTTTGCAAGAGGGGGGGACAGAGCATACTATAGCAAGAGGGGGGACAGAGTTGAGTTAACTGTTTGTAATAATTCATTTTCCCGAGAATTAATAATAAACTTTCTTCTGCCTGTCAGTTCCATTGTTGGTTACCTCCGAGTTTCTTCAGACAAAATGTACATGCATGTACATGTACACAAAATCTTTATTTGTCAAACAAGATTGCACTTGAAATCAATCGGTTTTGCACTGATTTGATGGACGTTTGTAATGAAAAAAAGATGGCAATTTTGCCATTTTGGGAAAATGATAAGTGTTAGCCTATGCAGTAACAACACTACAGAGACAACGACTACTTAATGGTGTTGCCTTTGTAAAACAGGCAATTTTGCAGGAAAATTTGAGCTACTCGTTTGGACTGTCGTACATGTTTGCTATTTGTTTGACCACAAGGTTCTTTTTAACAGAGTGTGCTCAAGAAATGCACCAATGGCAAAGCTTTTTACCTGGTGGCTACTGCCCAGTTTTTCACAACATTAATCTAAGAACACCTAGTAGTTTTGGGGCGTTGTTTACTTGCTGCAGTGACGAAGTTTCACAATAAATCTGCAAGTTTATGGCAAGTAAACAGTCCCAACAGCCAAGATAAGTTTCAAATATGTTGTACAGACATGTATTTGGTAAGATTACTAGTGAATTTTGTGGTATTTTTCAGAAGCCCTGTATTGTTGACAACCAGCTTTGTGTACAGTATTGTGTTGTTTTCATTTATCACTTCATTATACTTCATAATGTCAATGTTCAAATTAAAAAAATGCTCTTGCAAACAATACCTTATTTGGTAGTGGTACATGTAGGTTTTAGTATCACTTTCACTCTTGCACTAGTTAACTACATGAAACATTTTAAGTCAGCCATGAAAGACACTGTGACTCAAATTTGTTGTAGAATAATTTACATACCTCTGGGTAGTTTATTTAAGTGCTGGTCCATGACAAATATTTTCTTTAATGTACTGCAGTAACAGGCAAATACAAATACTATGTATCACATTTGGTAGTTTAACGGTGAGATGTGGCAGTATTTCAATATGGTTTCACAATGCAAGGCCAGAGACAGTATGTCTCCTGACACACTTGGTTAACTAACAAGTTTGAAGAAAAAAAAACTTATGTAGATACCTGGCCTTCAGAAACCTTTGGCTGTTTAAAAATAATGCCTGTGCCATTTTGTTTTATAAGTAGAGAGGAATCACACCAGCAAATGCTTGCTTGTAGACTAGGCTTCAAAGTGAAGCTTGTGCCCTGGTAATGCACAAGGTTCCAAATAACTCATTTTGTCACTTCATTTTATTAGCATGATGACCGGGAGCTACCTCGACGACAGAAGTTAGACAGATCAAGAGCTCGTTCAAGAAGTCCATTGTGGGTCCATGATAGGTTTGATGACAATGAAGAAGCTCAGGATCAGGATCAGGTGAGAGATTAACTTCACTGATACTGTATCTAATGAATTTTTGCCTTAGTATTGTTATGTTGGAAATATAATAGTTTATAAATGGCAAAGATAAATAAATAGATAAATAAATGAATGAATGAACTATATGCTCAATCGGTAGTTGTGTTTTTTGTCATTTTAGCATATGATTTTATCACCCTTTAATTTATAATGTTTTTAGGAAGAGAAAGCTGCTGAAGATGATAGCGAAACAACAAATAGACAGGACAGAGAAATAATTCAGAGCCAAAAATGAGACAGAGACAGGCAGCGGGAAGACACGCGTCACAACTAATTCTGTAAACTTCGTTTGTAAAAAAAAAATTTCACTGTTTTTTTTTTTTTTATCTCCATATACAGTTCCAGTGTATGATTGTGAATGTCGGGTTCTTCTACTTGGTATAAATTCAGGCTAATTTCATTTAAGTATTTATACAGTATCTCCCATCAAAATATTTGTGAAGTCTTACTCAGCCCTTGCTGACAAGTCTGAGTTTAACAGTACATGCATGTAGGTTAACAAAGTAGTAGGAAAACAGTCAGTGAAATTTGTAGCCCTTTTTTAAAAAAATTGCTACACAGTGCTTAGAACTTCACACGTCAAGAAATATCATGTAACTTATGGTTGCTAGTAAAGCAAAAGAGTAAGTGTAAGAAAAGCTGAGGAAGGAGTATGAGTTTGGGGAAAAAAATATACTGTTACTTGAGCAGTTTACATAGCTGTGAACTGGCAAAATATGCCTTGAACTAGGAAGTGAAAGCCACGTGGTTTGTCCAATGTACGTAAATGCCAATAAATTTTTATCATAATATGCTTACCAAATGTTCTTTTAAGAGTTGATTTGTAGGTTGATTTACTGCCATTTTATTGTGAACCTTTTGTTAAAGTAAATAAAGAAACTTGCTCCAATAATGGTCTAAAGGTCTAAACATCAGCTGGCTTGAATGGTGGTCTAGTGATGAAGTTCATAATAAACAAACTTATTACAGAGGAACCCTGTTAATATCCGGCCACCAATGGGCCACAAAAATCTGGCTGTATTAACGGGGTGGCCTCAGTAAAGGGGTTCTATAAATAAGAACATGACTGACTGAGCTTTTCTTTGGGCCAGAATAAAGTGGTCATAATAACGAGGTGTTAATTTAGTGGATAAATTCACTAATGTACCCTAAATCAAAGAATAAACGCTGGGCTTTTTTTCAAAAGAATATTTTGCTTGGCTTTTAATGTTTTGCAGTACTAATTCTTACAATAAATCTATCAATAACATATTACCAACAAAAGGGATTTAACGTGACGCCTGATCGCCTCGAAAGTAATAGCGTGACACGTGATTAGCCCCAAGACGCGGGATAGAGCTTCATAACGTGATGCGTGATTTGCTATTTTACAATCACGTAATGCGTGATTTACCAATTAGATTTCCGTAATAAGTGGACGCTCTTTGAACTAGAAGCATACCATTCATTCAAAGCAAATAGAGTCTTAGAAAGGTCAATAAACCGTGGCAGACGTGACACCATTTTGTGGCTTTTTCGTCCAGTTTCTTGTATTAAATCAAAGTGGCTGTGAGCCACTGAACTCGGATAATGATTTATGAAAGGCTGAGAATGGGTTTTTTTTTTAAATAACGCGAGTCCATTCACAGCTTAAATAAATGAATGAATAAATAAATAAACATATTTATGCAGGATGACCATTTCAGTTATAAAAACTGCTATCAACATGGATCCTGCGTAAAATAAATAGTATTCGTTCAAAGTTACAAAGAGTTGTACAGTCTCCCGCTACTCCAGCGCCACTTAGCCTCCCAAGCAGACGCTCTAAGAGCTCGTCACACGTTCCTTCCCCACGAACGTCTGCTCAACGGACTGGTAACTTCCGTTCGCAGGGGAAGGAAGGGGTGACGAGCCCTAAGAGCGTCTGCGTGGGAGGCTAGCTCCACTGAGTTCGTGACGAATGACGCCATTCTCAAACATCAAAACGGATCCACGAATGCACGAATGAGAAACATTTCCAGGAAAACAATAATTCACCTCCACTTGAACGAGCTCAGCAACAACTTATTCGAACATAGGCGTACGAGCCGGGGGGCGGAGGGGGGGGGACTGCAGCCCCCCCAGCTACGGAAATTATGT